CACCCTCACACGCCCACAGCTTCCTCACACTTCCAGGCCCTGGTGTCAAGCCTGCCTCACACCGCTTATAAGGGTCTAAGTGTCAACGTGCCCTTCTTCATCTCCTGTACGAGACTGAAAGCTACAAGAGGACAGACACCACGTCTGAATCTCACTGTGTCCTCAGGGCCTGGTACAGCTCAGGAATTCATAACTAAAACAACAACTGATGCTGTTTGTAGCTGAGTGCCTGAAACAAAAGGCCTAATTCCTCTTCTGTTTATTCCTGCCTCTAGTTCCATCCGGCGGGGCAGAAAGCAGTGCTAGTGACCTGACCTTCATTCATTCATTCATTCACTTGTCCATTCAGCAAACAGCTCCTGAGTGTCCACACTGTGTGCTGCGACCAAGAGAAGATGTATCGCTCAGAAACAACTCCTCCTCTGCTGACAGTTCAGCCGTGCTGCTTAACGCGCCCCAGGGTACAGTGTGTCCCCTGAGCGTGGCCCTGAGTGCCCTGGGCCAAGGAGGAATGCTCTGTCCACTCACCCCCCCAACACCCCAGGGGAAGGGAATCAAGCAGCCCCTGAGGTGTAGGCCCCTAAAGGACGCACCTCCCAGTTTAGTTTCTCCCTGGGTTAATCAGTTTGTATAAAATGCAAGCGAGAGAGATTGTTCCTGAATTCAAAGGACTAAAGCGCATGCACACGCGCACACGCACACACACACCTGGACTCAGGGAACCAACCTCCTGCTCAAAGAAGAAAAGTTTCCAAGGAAGGATGTGTTAAAACCCAGATCTGCCACCCTCACCCCCACCCACCACCCGTGGGTCCCAGATTAACTGCAGCAGAAGCCCCACAAGCGCTTTGCCCAGCAAACGCCATCTCACCTCCTCTATCGCCAGGGATAAAGCAAGGCCCTCGTGCCAGGGGCAGAGGAGACCCTCCATGGAGAACTCGAGGAGGCCAGCAAGTGGAGGCCCAAAGTCCTCCACCAGCCTCAAAGCAAATCATCTTTTAATTCTGAAACACCAAATATTTAATTTATGCTTTACCTCAAATGTCAAGTCCACCTCCCGGCACATAGCTCTGAAACCACGTAAGGAGGACTAACACTTTCCATATGGTGAAGACATGGGGCCTTTTAATTGTGCCAACTGGTATCATTCAAGGGTAATTCCCCTGGAATCCAGCGCTCGGGCAGCAGCTGGGCCAGCCTCCAATCTCATCACCCAGCTCTGTATGTCCCTAGGGGCGCCAACCAGACCTGCACCCAAATATCTCCCCCAAATATCTAGGTACTAGATGCCCCCTAATCAAATTACCAAACTGCCTGGCAGCCACCTTTGATCCGGAGGCAGCCTTGCCTGCACCGCGGGTCTGGCTCGTCTCTCCTGGCAGCGCTGCTATAAAAGAACAAAAGGGCCAAAGCGGAGGTGGGGCGAGGTCTGCCTTCTATCTGGCTGTGCACATGTACGTGTGTCCCGACAGAGCACACGCACACACAGGCACATGCTCTGCTCGGGGGTTCTCCTGCCCCAAGTCCTGTCCCTTAACCATTCAACCCACCTACTAAGCTCTTGCATTTCACCCACTATATTCTTCAGACCTGGTGCTCCCAACCGGCTTTCTCCTGTAACTGCCTGCTGCTGTTTCATGCGTCCAAGTGTCTTCCTTCATCTCTTTAAGATCACGATGCTTGTTTTAATTTCTCATTGTTTCACACATTCTTTTCTGACACACAGATTGTTCACTTTATTATTCTTCCTTTGTCATACGCGGGCCCCTCACATTTCTCACCACTTTTCCCTGTCAGTTCATACTGCCCGTGTGCCCACAGAAAGACAGAGCCCTGGCCTGAGTTTTATCCTTTCATGGAGTCTATAGTTTAAGGGGCGGGGAGACTTCATAATCTGGGCCCCCAGCCCCACCCCTATCAGTGTCTTCTCAGGAACTCTTTATGAAGGTTATTCTAAAGGGTGATCTGCCATAACCCTGCCAGGGAGGAGAATATTACTGTTACACCCATTTTGCAGGTGAGCTAGTTGAGGCACGCACAGGTAAACTGGCTTATACAAGGTGGAAGTTACTGCGGGCCTGACCTCATTTACTTTTGTGGTCAGGAGGGCAGCGCCCCCTCACATCCCAGATTTGCCTGCAGCGTGGTCCCACCCTGACCATTTACTCAGCTACTCAGATCCCTCCGGGAGGAAGAGGGCAAGCAGGGGCCCCTCGTTTCTGCCCGCCCCACAAGCTGCCCTGTCTCAAAGAACTCTGCAGCGGGCCTCCAGCCGGCTCCCTGGGAGTCAGCAGACCTCGGGGGCAAATGCTCTGGCAGGGCTTCGCCACACATAATCTCCAGTGTCCTAGAAAGTGCACCAGAAAGGGTGAAAAGCAGAGTCCACACAGCTGGCTGCCCACCCTACAGGTCATGAGGAGGATTAGGATAAGCAGAGAGTTGGCACACGGCACTTCACAGCGCCTATCAGGGCAGTGAGAGCAACGGGAGTTGAATGAGCCACGAACGCAGCCCCAGCCCCTTTGGTGGGAGGCCAGGAGAAGGAGTGGAGACAGGGGTCATCCCAAGATGGGCCTTGGGCCTCAGCAGACTGTGGAGCCCACGCCCTCCTCCATCCTGAGGATACAGCGGAAGAACCTGCCAGCCACCCTTCCGCGCCACTGGCGATCCGGAAATCCAGCCGGGCCGCGGGTCTGCCCGCTGCTGTCCCACCCAGTAGCTCCAAGTTTCCAGAACTCTGCCCATTCCCTTCGCACGCTCTCAATTTTGACCACGGGTGCTTATTTTTTTCTCCCAGTTGACATTAGACTCTCTCTCTCTCATCCTAAACAATACAGCCATGAAAACACGGGCTCGTGCCCGAGGTGTTTTGTCTGTAAAAGAAACACCTCCAGGTACCCCCTGAAGCCACCTCATCAGCACCCACAGCTCAGCACCCCCCCCACTACCGCCCCGGTGGTGGGCTCTCCCACCTCTCCGGGGACTTGCCATCCACCCCCCGCCCCATCACAGACTCAGGAGCTGGGCCAGGGAGCCCAGCGTCGAGGTCCCAGCCACCGGGGCCGACTCTCAAGGAAGCAGATGGTCCTCCCTCTAATATCTGGACGGCAGGGCCCGCCCCCCACCCCCACACATGTCACGCTGATGCCTCTGGGTCTCGCATCTTCAAAAGTACTTTGAACAAACATTACCGACCCCTGAGCGCGCGTCTCAGAGAGAGGGCTAGGGAAGGGGCCGGCGCCAACCCGTGCTATCCTCAGCTGGGGGAAGAAACCAGGCAACCGAATTCCGTGACTTCACCCAAGCCACAGACTGGAGCTGGGCCCCCTCCTCACCCGCCCTCATTTCCCCCAATGGCAACTTTTACTGGCTCGCATTCCTCTTGCTGGGAACACTACTATTTAATTAAAAACGACAGACTTTTGTTTTCCTCTCCTTCCTTCCTCCTCCCTCCCATCTCCAGGACTGGATGCCAAGGAGACCCACCAAAAACATGCGGGTAACATTTGTTATGGCTTTGAAGATAAAAGTCAATTGAAGTAAGCCCTCGCTGTATTTCAAGTTTCCCCTAAAGCATGGAGCAAGCTGCCTGGCAGTTAAGGAAAGAAAAAAAAAGGGGGGCACTGCAAATAAATGTCATTCTGCAGGAATACTTTGTAAAAATAAACAGGCTGAAAAAACCCAAAACTTGATTAATGGAAATCCACTCGGTTGGCCTCTGTCTGAGCTGCAAATGCATTTGTTCATATGGCTAAATCGGATCATTTTCATTGGGCTTTTAAATAAATAAGTAGATCAAACACTAGAAACGGTGGGGGAAGAAAGGGAAGTTTGTAGTTCTGTTTTTAAAGGACCCCAACTGCCGTGCCCCCCACCCACCAAGGTTTGACCTTTGCTAAGGGGACAGCAGCTCCAATTCCAGCCCAGGCAACCCATGAAGAGAAGTAGAAGAGAGAAAGCTCCCCGCTAAGTGGCGGGGCTGGAGGAGAGGGGGGCTTCCCCAGACGCACAGGCACAGGCTCAGCCAAGCTGCACCCAGCCCAGGTCCCACCACCCAGACACACGCACCGGTCCCTCCCCCGCCCGAGGGCCAGACCAAAGAACTAGCCAGACCTGAGACTCAGTCTGTTCCCCTCTAAGCTAAAAAAAAAAGAAAGAAAGAAAAAAAAAATTAAATGTCACATCAAAAAGTTGATTCATCCTTTGATCCTTGGCTCACTCAAGTTCCACGCAGACCATCTGAAAGCCCCGTGCAGAGTTCCAGAGCTCCTAGGACATCTGTGAACACCAGTCCCGGGCCGGGAGCTGGACTCATTCACTTCCCTGTCACATCGACTGCTCCCCAGGCACGGCTCCAGCCTCGGGGCCCACTGGACGAGCTCAGAGGTGGGCCTGGGCTATGGCGAAATGAGACTCTCTCTGCTTGTGGGCCAAACTAAGTGGTCTACCAGGTCTCAGTGTCCCCCACCACCCCCATTTCTGCCACCCAGATCGCAGCCTGCTCTACTGGGGTTCCTGGGCAAATGGTACTGATGATGGATGCCACCCATACTCGGAGCACATGTAAAGGCGGCCACAGATCATGGGGCCAGTGCAGTCCTGCCCTCCATCCAGACACCCCGAAATGCCTTCCCTCTCTCCCCAGCCTACCTCGAAACCCACCCTTGAGTGTTGGCCACAGAAACAAGGCATGAGTCAGACAGAGCAGGTCCCCACACCCCTCCAGCACAGGCAAGCTCCCCACTGCTGGACCTGCACCCCTGCCTTGCCCAGGACCTTCCACCCAGGCAGCCCCCTGCCCCCAGCTCAACAGGAGACTGGCGCCTGTGCCACCTCTTAGGTTCCCCAGGGCACGGGCACAGGGTCACGCTGATGGGGCAGGAGGCATCTGACAAGGGGTCTCTGTACTTAGAAACTGTGCCAGGAGGCTACGAAAAGTTGGGGTGGGTGGGACAGAGACCCAGGTCTGAGGTTGAAAGGGAGGGAGACAGGGATCATACCCGGGTGCCTCTACCAACGGTGCCAGCCACCCGCAGCTGCCGGGCTCCGGAGCTGCTGCCTGGGCAGCGCTGCCTCCCGATCCACTCCTCGATGCCTTTTCGAGCCCAGGCGGCGCTCACTGCGAAGCTGTCACCTGGGGCGGGGACAACACGAACCCTGAGACTGGCCCTGGGTCAAGAGTCACCCCAGCGCACGGGAAAGCAGTGGGACCAGTGGCGGCAGGAGGGGCTCCGCGTCTGTCACAATAGGTAGTCAGAAGGGGGTGGGGGTGAGGGGAAGCCCCAAGAGCCAGGACACCGAGGGAGGCTGGAAAGGGGCGCAGCAGCCAAGGAGGAAGGGTCTGGGGATCAGAGGAGTGAGACCCAGAGCCCAGGGCTGCGGGGAGGGTCTGGGGGGCCAAAGGCGACGCAGGTAGCGCGGAGGGGCGGGAAGCGGGGGACAGAGTGTCAGGAGAGGGGGCACCGCGCGCTCAGGACCCAGGGTCTCTGCGGAGGGGGCTCGGCGCAGAGACAGGGGGCAGGATTCTGAGGGAGGCCCTCGGGGTCTGAGGAGGGTGAAGGGCCGGAGCTGGAGCCCAGGAGGGCCGGGCGGCCGGGAGCGGGGGTCGGGGAGGGGCAGGCAGCCGGCTCGGGGAGTGGGGTCGCGGGGCCGGCGCCCGAGGAGGGGTGGGGCGGCCCCAGCCACAGGAGCCCGCGGGCTAGGCCCCCGCGCCGCGCTCGGGGGGCTCCCCCGTCCGCCCCGCGCCCCGCGCCCGCGCCCCGCGCCCCGCGCCTACCTTCCGGGCTCTCCCGGCGCCGGCACAGGGCGGCTGCGGGCGCGCGGCGGCGGGAGCAGGGGAGAAAGGAGAGCAGAGAGTTAGCGAGCGCCGGGGCAGCGGCGGGCCGCGGGCCGGCGCGCGGGGGACACTGACCCGGCTTGGAGTGGAGTTTCCCCATGCTGGGGCGCCGTCTACGCCATGCGCCCGCCCCGCCGCTCCCGCGCCGCGCCCGCCCGCCCCCCGCGCACCCCGGGGCGGCCCGAGCCCGAGGCGGCGCCGGGACGCGCTGCTGCCGCCGTCGTCGCGGCCGGACTGACGCCGGGGCGCGCCGAGCCCCCAGCCCGCCGCCGCGGCCGGCGCCTCCCCGCGCGCCCATTGGCCGGCGCGCGCTTCAAAGGCGAGGCGGCCGCGGGCGGGCGGGCGGGCGCGCGGGGCGGGGCGCGGGGGCGTCCGCGCGGGGTCCGGCGCGCGCTCGGGCGGCGCGGGGGGCCGGGGCGCGGGGGGCCGGGGCGCGCGTCCTCGGGTCGCGTCCTCTCGCGGGGCGCCCCCCCCGCCGCTGCGCTCCGCGGGGGACTCCGCCGCGCAGGCACCCGCTGGAGACGCTGGGGTCCGGAGTGGCGCCCCGCGCGCCGCGCTCCCCCGGCCTCTGCCACCTGCCCTGGCACGGGCTTTACTGCTCCCCCGCCCCGGCCAGCACCCCCCCACCCCCCTGGTTTTGGGGTCGAAAAGAAGCCCCCAACGTGCCTCCCGCCAGTTGTGGACTTAGCCCGCCCCAGGGGGCGGCAAGTGTCCCACGCCGGGGTGTGCGCCAGCCGCGGGGATCCCCTGGCCCTGGGCACCCACCCGGGGTGCCTGCCCCGACAGCGACAGCCTGGGTGCTGCCAGCTGTGCCGCCCCGAAGGGGGTAACCGCTGGGGCTTTGATCTCCCTGGGTTTCCGCTCCCCGCTGCCTTCTCTAGACCTAAGGGCTCGTTTGTTTTGTCTGGGGAGGTCTCTGCTGAGGGAGGACATCAAGGGGCTCCATCCTACCTTTGCGGCTCTCAGAGACAAGGCTGCTCTGCTCGGAGCCCCCTGGGCCCCTGAAGTCCATCCTAGGACCAGGGATCCTGGGCTAGGAGTGAGGAGACCAGCTCTGCCCCTTGGGCTGAAATCTCAGAGGGAGCCTTGGTTCTATGATCTGTGAAATGGAGCGACTGTGAGCCGCATAGGCCATTCTAAATTTTCTAGGAGTCACATTTTTTAAAAAAGAAACATAAAATTAATTTTAATGTTTTAGTTAACCCAATATGTAGAAAAATGTTCCAGACGTATAATTAGATATTTTGCACGCTTTGATTTGCACCATAGGTTTGCTATCCAGTGGACATTTAGAGGACACCGTGACCCAGAGCGCCGCTTTGCAACACATTGCGAGGGCTGGGTACCCCTGTGGCTGGCGGCTGCTGCGCTGGCCATCACAGTTCTGGAGCGTCCACCTGCCTCAGAGACGGCAGAAGCTGTGCGGCCTCCTCCCAAGTCATAAATCTCTTCACCCAACAGAGTCTTACTTCCATGCTGCAGACTCCTAGCTGGGGAGGTGCCACGTCTCCCACCCCCACTTCTGTGCAGCCACCTTGGACTAGCTACTGGGGGCAGGGGTTGAGTGTGGGGACGCAAGCTGCCGTGTTATAAAGGGGAGTCCTCCTGCACCCTGGGACTGCTGGGAAGGAGACTGGGTGGGGAGGCATGAAAGACCGGTGGGTGACAGACGGGTGCAGCATTATCTTGATGTGGCATCTCCTTTTGTCTCAACTTTCTGGGACCTGTTTCTGAACCCCTTTCCTATGGTTCCCTGTCAGAAGGGGCCTTAGACTTGCAACAAGCTTTCCGTCCTCAGTGGCCCTGTTTGGACAACCCTGTTTGGCTGGATGTTTGTCCAGAAAGGGACTGGTAATTTGTGATTTAGGGGAGAAAATATGCTTTCTTCTCTTCCTTCTCTATGCACAATAATTCCACTAAGTTTCTTTCACACTAAGAGTCTGCTTTGCCTTTGTGAACACAGATGGCTGGACCCCTTTAGAGCATGAAAGTTTGGGCATCCCTGGGTACCTCCTCGGTCATGTGCTAACACTCCCTTTCTCACACTCTTTTTCACGGGAATGCAGGGTAATCCTATAAGCAGGTACATCAATGCTGATAGCATTGTCCTTTTTATATTGCAGTTCTATATCTAGTACCATTGTTCTAAGTCATGCGCAGCCCTCACCACCCTCTGATGCGGGTTTGCCCTTGTGCTCTGGGCCCAGAGAGGTGAATTCACTTGGTCACAGTCACACAGCTATTCGGAGACTTGATCAGGAATCCCACCCAAGCCAAGTTGGTTCCTTGCCCATGTTTGCTTCCACTGCTTCAGACTGTCCCATCACAGTTCAGACCTGACTTCCACCATCAGAGGGCCCCTCATGTGGAAGCAAATGTTAATCAAGCGCCAGCTATGGAGTGAACTCCCATTTCAGGCACTTGAGAGACATCAGTGGACAAAATACATAAAACACCTACAAGCCTCACTCTCACGGAGTGCTCAGACTCTGCTGGGAGAAGCCAGGCCAGAAGCACACGCACAGATTGTGCACATCATGGAAGCAGCTTCATGGGTTAGAAGGCGTGGTGACTGTCACAATGGTTCCCAACAGAAGCAGTTTTGCGGCCCCCCCTTCACCCCCGCAGGGAACATTTGGCAATTTCTGGAGGCATCTAGCAAGTAGAGGCTAAGGTCGCTACTAAACAGCTAAACATCCTACAAGGTACAAGGTACGCAGCCTCTAAAACAAAGAATTATCTGGCCCCAAAGTTCAGTAACACCAAAGAAAGCCATCCCCGCCCCCCCCCTGTAGAAAAATGTTTTAAAAATGTTAAAAACAAAAAAAGTAAAGCAGAATCGCAGAAGGTGAGGGTGTCGGGAGGGAGGTGGGGTGTCAAGCATCTGAATCAGAGTGGGCGCCTCCCTGCAGATCCCTCCAGGGGCAATGAAACATGGTTGGGTGCTGTTTGTCCCCGTCACCCTCACCCCACCGTGCCAGGGTGCCTCTGAATCAAAACAAAACTCTGAGCCTTCTTTCTCACAGTGCTCCCAAGTTGGTTACTTCCTTAAACTGGCCATGGCTTTCTTCTTTCATGAGAAAAAAGTATCCCCTCTTCCCCTTGGGAATTTCTTTTTACAGTTCAAAAAGAGATAAAAGCAAGAGCTAAAACTCTGCAGTTACCAGTCTGAGTCTTGGGGGAAGTAAATCCCAAGTGTCCAGACACAAAGGCCCCTCCACCTTCAGCCTGCCCGGCCCAGCCCAGCAGGCGCCTGGGACTTTGCTGCTGTTGGAACACACACACACACACACACACACACACACACGCACGCACACACACACACACACACACACACACACACACACGCCACCCCGGCCCTGGGGTGAAAGACCAGAGAGGTGGGCTTTGGAGTGAATCCTCAGCCTGTCCAGGGATCTGAGGAGGGCTCCCCTGGGCCACCAGGCCGCGTCCACCTGGGGTGGCTCTTCGGCCTCTGCAGGCTTCCCGCCCACGACTCTCTGTCTTTTTATGTGTTTTAATAATTTATCTGGCCCATTTCTTGGGCTGTATACTTACAGTGACACATCTTTTTCTTTGAAGATTTCCCATCCTTTGGGGAGGAGAATGGGAAAGGAAGGCAAGGAAGAGATAAGAGGGAGAGATTATAGCAGAAACGGGTTTCATGGGGCTTGAGATTTAGCAAGGCTGGTTAGGTGAAATCTGTCAGACGTGGAGCTGGGAGGTTTGAAAGAAAAAACACATCACCCTGGTCGGCCATTCCCGTGCTTGTCCCCAAGTTAAGCCACCTGATCTGGTCCCCTTCAAATGCCACTTCCTAGAGGAAACTCTCCTTGACCTTTCAACCTGAGCTCGGACCACTCTCTTAATAACCAAAATCTCCTTCCCGCTCCACTTGGCTACTCCTTACATTTAATGTTGGGGCTAAATTTCCCTCCCCAAGTCTGGGTTTCTTGGGGGGACAGGAGGAGGAGGTCTAGCCTGAATTGCAACTCTAGGTGCAGTTCCCAGCACTGCCCATAGGAGGTGCTCCGCATAGAGAGGAACCTACCCTGTCCCACCTCCACCCTGGGGTGCCCAGGGTCATCCATCAGTAAGAGGATGGGAGGGTTGCCAAGAATATGGTCGGGGATGAAACTCCCAGGTCCCCAGGGGGGCATCGCTGCAAACTAGCAAGGCTGGATGTTGCTAAGTGGCTCAGAGACCTGGTTTCAGTGAGGAGGGGAGGGTTAAATGGTTGTGCCTGGGAGATCACAGAAACTTTGGAGATGGCAACCTGGAAAGGGAAGGGAATGATCTCGGGGAAACAGGATATGAGAAGAGTGAGATGTAAGGCTTAAGAAGGGGTGCACAAAGGAGGGGGGGCAGCTGGCAAAGCTCAGGACAGTGGCATCTACTGTGCATGTAGTATGCAGCTGGCAGCTGGCCCCTGCTCAGCTCTGTGCAGAATCACCCCTCCACCCCCCGCCCCCGTGAGACCAAACCTCAGCCACATGCTCACCACACACCCGGATTAGTGGCTTGGGACCGAAGGAAGGAATCAGAAGGGTCATCACAGCCCATCAGTAGGGCCGCAGGCCACAGCCGTGAGCAGAGTGAGGTGTTCATCAAGAGACCAAGACGGCACGGGAGGCAGCCGGGGGAGCGCCAGTTTCCAGCACCTGTCCTTGGAATTGAGCAGGGCCTAGACTTCTCCCAGAGCGACAGGTGAGGTCCTCAGGCTTTAGAGGGGAGAGGCCCCAAGGACAGCTACTGGAGCACGCGTGTTCGCTGAACTGAACTGAATCTCCATGCACCCGCTCCTCCAGGGTGCCCCAGGTCAGGCAACAGGAGGGCCGAGCCGTCCCGCCTTCATATGGCTCCTGCCACCCCCAGCCCTGCCTCTCCGGCCCTGCCCCAGCTGGAATGAGAAGCCTTCCAGCCCAGCACCGGTGCTCCTACTTCTAGACTTCCACAGAAGCCTGCGTGACAGTCCCTCTTCTTAAGCCTTTGTTTTCTGGTCGCATGCAGTCAGCCCCACCCCATCACCACTCTCGTCTCCCTGTCCATGAAACAGAAGCAAGAGTCCAGGGGACCCACATTTCCCGAAATAGATTCCACCTGAACACCAGAGCTGTGA